CCACGTAGGGCACCTCCAGCATCTTGAGGGTGACGGATGGGCGGCCCATCTCGTGGATGCGCCCGAAGCCGCTCACGATGCCTGATTTCTGCGTCATGAGCGTGGACTCGGCCCAGTCCTTCTCTGGCAGGCAAGCGGGGGCCACGTTCATGCGGAATTTGATGGGAGTCTTCAGCTTGAGGACAGCGATGTCACAGTTAAAGGTCTTATTGTCAAACTTGTTGTGTTTTATAATCACCTCCACCTCGTGCACCATCTCATTGCCGTCTTCCTTCTCTGTGTTTCGATCGCCTGGAAAATGGTGAGAGCAAGGCGTGTTAGCTCAGCCTGGGCCACGCATTCTTGGTGGGTTACTTTTTAAAGTAGCTATTATTATTTTTTCTAGTTAAAAAAAAAGGTACTCACTAGAAAATTTGAAAAATATAAGAAATCATAAAGAGGTGAATTAAAATGACCTTCAATTTCACTATTTTTAGTCACATTTTTCTATGTACGCTCCGTTCTTCAGGGACTTCCAGTTCACTCATTTGTGTATCCATATTTCCCGAGGATGTGTTGAGTGCCAGGCACACAAGGGAGATGAAGGCCTGAGGTTCTAGACCCGCGCTGTCTAGAGGGCCCCCACCAGCCACAGGGGCACTTGAAGTGTGGGTGGTCTGAACGGAGACGTGCTGTGAGTGTCAAATTTCAGACTTAGAGTGAGAATAATATTCAAAATAGCTCATAAATACGTCTACAATGGATTACCCATTGAAACATTCTGGACGTGTTGAGTTAAATATGATATATTACTGAAATTAATTTCACCTGTAAACTTTTAAAATGTATAGTGGAAAAGTTAATGTAACTAGCACATTAAAATTCATGTGGCTCACATTTGTGGTTTCATCGGACAGCTCTAGAGTCTGGTAGGGAAGGACAGACATTACGAAATAATCCCACATAAAAATATAAGGGGCAGAGGGACTCGGTGCGCAGATCGTCCAAGGGGCTCTGCAGGCCTCCCCAGAGGAAAGGTCGCTGAGAGGAGACCCAGCACTTGGGGCATGGACACCAAGAGCCACAGGGAGGACCATGAGGGAGGAGAACTGGGCTGGATAGGACCATAGAGACCTGTCAGCTTAGAAAGACTGACTAGAACTGCCCATTTTCCTCCTACCTCCACTCTTCTCATCTTCACCCTCCTCACCTTCTTGTCTTCCTCCTCCTCTTCTCCCTTCTTTTTCTCATCCTTCTTTCTCTCTTCTTCTCCTTCTCCTTCCTTTTCTTCCCCGCTTCTAATAATCTCCTCCCCTCCCCCCTCAACCTTCCCCTCCT